ATAACCATGTGTCAAGTCCTTTTTCTTTGGTTCATTCAGATGTTTGGGGTCCTTATAAAGTGATGTCATACAATGGATATAGATATTTTGTCATTTTTGTTGATGATTATTCAAGGATGATGTGGCTCTATTTAATGAAAGAAATGAGTGAATTGTTTACCTTCTTCCAAAAATTTTATGCTGAGATTCGCAACAAATTTGGTGTTCACATTAAAATTTTTCGTTTCGATAATGGCCGTGAATATTTCTCTTCATCATTTCAAGAATACTTGGACCAACATGGCATTATACATCAGACCTCATGTTCCTACACCCCACAACAAAATGGGGTGGCTAAGAGAAAGAATCGTCATCTTTTGGAAACAGCTCGATCCCTCATGCATCACATGAATGTTCCCAAACCCTTTTGGAGTGATGCAGTGCTTACTTCTTGCTTCTTGATTAATCGGATGCCCACGTCTATCCTTGATGGTCATTCCCCATTCACCACCTTGTTTCCCACCTTGTCTCCGTTTCCTCTTTCTCCTCGGGTTTTTGGGTGTGTCTGCTTCGTCCATAATCTGGGCCCCGAGAAGGACAAGTTAGATGCACGAGCCATTAAGTACATCTTCCATGGCTGTTCTCGGACCCAGAAAGGGTATAAGTGTTATCATCCTAGTTCTCGACGTTCCTTTGTGTGTGCTGATGTTACCTTATTTGAGTCTACTCTGTTTTTCTTGGGGTCCGGTGATGCTTCTTCCTCCTCATCACCTCTTCTTCCACTTCTAGTTGTGGATTCTGTTCCCCTTGTTCCAGGTGTGACCAAGTCCTTGCCTCCAGTGCCACCACCTGTTGAACGGCTACCTATTCGTCAAGTGTATACACATCGCCCACATGTACCAGCTGCTACTCCTCCAGCTCCATCAATGTTGACAGATCCGACAGTTGTTTCCACACCAGCTCCAAATCCAGTATCTGATCTTGATCTTTCCATTGCCTTGCGGAAAGGTAAACGCACTTGTACCCTTCATCTTATTTCTAATTATGTTTCACTCACTCACCTTTCCGCTTCCCATCGCCAGTTTATCTCTTTGCTATCCTCAGTTGTTGTCCCTAAGGATGTCCAGGAAGCCCTTGCCTCTCCAGGGTGGTGCCATGCAATGGAAGAAGAAC